TTTTCCAAAGTGGTCTAGAGTTGGAAAATAAGGATATTTTGACCTTAAAGCTCCTTAAAACTACCAAGCGGTCCGGCTTTGTAATTTTCCCAAAGTTAAGAACAGAACCGTCGCCCGAAAAAAAGGGTAAGCACGGCCTTGGGCCCATGGGGCCCAGACATTTTCGGTCTTCAGAGCAGGTAAACGTACCGAGCCCATGGGCCGATCGAGTCCACGTTGAAAAATCTAGCCAGGAAAGGTCAGGTGTTAACGAGATTTTATTAACTTGCTTTATCAGTTGTTAAACATTTTTGTTTACCTAAGTTAGTCAAATCAAACTATCAATTTTAGTCGGCCAACAAAAATTTTAGCCGTCAAAATTTAAGAAAGTGATGTAATCCAACATGTATAATTTAAAAGCCCAAAAATTTAACATAAAAACGTCCACATGATTAATTTAATATTAAATAAATTTTCATGTAATTTCATGCATTATATAGAAATTTATATAGAAATTTATCAACATACAAAAGTTGTTTCCAGAATACTTTCAGGGATCAATCAGAATATTACCTCAAAACCGAAAAGAAAAAGCAAAATCCCAATACAAACGGATTTTTTAGCTTCCACACCAAATGCATCTTGCTTCTCAACTTACCACACAGTCGAGGAACGCCTGCCTCTCATTTCATCTTTCACTGGCTTATCATTCCAACCAGACTAAAATCGACCTAGATAACTATGCTTCCAAGTGAATTAATAACTGGACAAAATAAGCACAATTCATTGCTTTATCTGGTCTATTTGATATTATGTGCTGTCTTAACAAGACAGTACTTTAACAAGTCTATAAGAAAATGGCATTTGTGTATTTTATTTTTTACTTATTTAATAAAACCAAATTTAATTATTTAGATAATTTAATTATATTTTAATTATACATAATAATATTAGATATTTTGAATTTTTTAATTTTTTAATTTTGTTTTTTAATTTTAAGAACAAAATTTGATTTTTTGTAATTTATTTTTAAATTTAAAAAGTAAAAAATAGACCAAATTCATTTTAATTGTTCATAAAATAATTTAATATTTAATATTATATTCACAAACTTTTTATTTAAATTAATATAAAATAAAATAAAAATAAAAGACTTGCTAGGACGTTGCCCCAACATCAAATGGACCACCTAACCTGAGAGAGTGAAACGAAACTGCTGTTTCCCTTGTGAAACAGGCAGGTTCAGGGCCCAATGTGCTCTTAACCAATCGAATTTTTTTAAGGTAAGGTATGGTATTTTAAAATTTTTTGATAAAATAAGAATGCAAAATGTCAAAAAAATATATTTAGGAGGTATTTTAAAATTTTATCAAATAAAGAAATTCAGATTCTTTCACTACAGTAATTGAACTTTTATTTAGATATTAATTACTATATTACTTTTTACTTTTTAAATAAATGATAAAAATATTTTATATATATCAAAAATTATAAATATTTATAATATTATATATTAATATATTATATCACACTATAATAAATTGTATAATATTATTATATATATATCTAGTATAATATAATAAATTGTATAATATGATATATTATATCATTTATTATATTTATATAATATATATAACTTATTATATATATACATACAAATATATTTATAAAAAATTTAATATTTTAATATTAGAACTAAAAATTAATTTTTAAAATTTTTTTAAATATGTTTAACATATATTAAAAATTATGTTTAATTTTTAAATTTTTATAACAAAGAGTATTTTTATTTTTAAATATTTTTTATTTACTTTTTTATTTTTATTCAACTTACTAAATATAATAATAAAATAAAAATTCTCGTATTGAATATATTTATAAAAAAATTTATCCTACCCCACTCTCATTTTTATTTTTATTTTTATTCTATCAAAATTCATATAATCGTACAATTCATCAATTAAGTCTATATTCACACGTGAAAATGAAGAAGGAACCGATTCTTCACACGGACGATTACGCTTTGTTGATAATGTTCTCGATACTTGCGCCGCCACAGTATTCCCACTCAATAATGGCGATACCTCCGTCCGGGTTTGTGGGACAAAAGCGTAATTAAGTAGATAATGGCCCAACAATAAAAGAATATTAGAGTGTTAAGACAAATGATTGTGCGTCTATCCAGGTTCCTGAAGGTCAATTGGAGGAGCTGGTCCTTGTGGGTGGAAGCTCGTGGGCTCATGCGCTCCTTCTCCAATGACTGAGAATGGTTGATGAGTGAGTGATGTGCAAATGGCAACAGAAGAGTCGCGGCTTTTGAGAACATCAGAGCCTTATAGAGAAAGGGCACTGCATGGAGACACGTGTGCGGTCAAGTTTTTGTCGTATTGCTGGCACTGGAGGTGACAGGACCGTGATAACCAACCGCTTTTGGAGCTGTCTGCATTTTGGGTTCTGGCGAGAGCAAAACTGTGAGATATTTTAACAGTCCAAGAAAAGTAATTTACTTCCTTTTTTTTGTAACATAAATGTAATTTACTTTTCTCTCCTCATAATATTTACTCAAAGGCACCGGTTCAATATATTTAGCAGTGTGGTAAAAGAGTACAGCATAAATTTATTATATTTTGTTACGTGTAGTAAAATTAAAAAATTTATAAAATAATATCAGTGTAATAAAAGAAGTATTACAAAGGAATAGTACAGTAATTTTATCAGTACTTATTAAGATTTTTTTTACTAAAATATTTTTACTATTTATAAAAAAAACTAAATGATGCCAAATTTCATGCTCTCATGATAATGAGGATGATAGCTCACAAAGATATTTTTATATAAAATATTTTTTATCCTACTATTAAGATGCTGCAGTTATAAGGTGAACAGAAAATTTGGTAAATGGAGGCCACTGGTTTTTGTTAGAAATATATAAACACAAGACTGGCTTGAGGCATGGAAATATTATTTTAAAAAATTATTTATCTGATTTTAAAAAGAAGAAGAAATTAAAAATTTTTTGAGAAATAACAAGTCTTGTAAAAATTAGTATATTTATAAATTGAAGAGTCACTTCCAACAATTATTTTCCAATAGTTAAGTACAAAATAAATGGTCAAATTATTTAAAAATAATTAAATTATTTTTATATTAATTTAAAAAATAAAAATAAATAAAAATTTATTAATTCCTTTTAATTTAAGTTGAGACTAAGTCTAAGTCTTAAATTATAATCTAAATTATTTAATATATATTTACATATATAAATTATATAAATCACATATAATAACTTATTTAATAAATTAATATATTTAAAAAAGAGACGAAAATATTAATAAATTCATTTAGCTTCTAACGTGCAATTCTATTTCCCATGCGAGGTTACTCCAAAGTTTTTCCCATGCGAGGTTACTCCAAAGTTTTTCACCTCTTGTAAGAAATAACCTCTCCCATGGCAGTGACAAGACTGGATATCATTACACTCGTACAATTTGATGGCATCCTCCTCGGCATCAACAACATCGGACTGGCTTTCTAGCCTGAGGATGTCCTTTCAGTTAATCCTTGAAGAGCGGAGAGAAAGGTGTGATGGCGCACGCTTCATGTTGGTGTGCAGGCAATGGTTCACACCTGCGTCAGTGGCGAAAAAGAATCATCAAATCAAAGAGAGCCATGTTCCTCTGATGCTGATCCGCACCGAGAGCCGCAGCTGCCATCATCTTTATGAGGCATCTCCCTTGCCCTTTCGCTGGCACTGCTGCTGCGATTCTCTGGGATGGTTACCTTTGTGGACCTTGACCATTCCATCATATTGTTCAACCACTTCACCTCTTCGACCATCTGCCTTCCACCTCCGGCTCCCACTTATCACTGTTATTTCTAATACCCTGTTCCTAAGGTGGTTCTATCGACCGACTTTCTCTCTCAATGAACGATTACTTGTCACACTATCAACTGCGTTCTAAAATGCACATTGACCTGCATCGAGCCAGGCCATAGCTCCTGGACCTAAGTAGAAGGTTGCAACATCAAACCAGGCCACAGCTCTAGATCCAGGTCAAAGGTCGCGTATACATGGATGCTATATATTGCAAAGGAAAAACATATGCCGTGAACTATAACCCATCCGTTCTCCTTTGACGTGAACTGTGACAGAAGGGCGCGCTGCTTCCCCAGAGGAAGGTTCACGTGATATACGCTGTGGATTATCAGATGGAGACTTGTTGCTGGTACGTAAATATATAGATGACCTGGATGACAAAATATAATTCGAGACCTCGAAGTTCTGAGTTTTAAGCTTATTAGAGGGAGAAATATTCCAGATTGGTTCAGATCAATTGCATGGGAGATTTACAAGTTCTTGGCAATAATTCTTCCTTGGCATTATCGGCTCTCTACATGACTTGGTCTGAAACACATTGCAAATACTACACCTGTGATGATGACTTTGAATTACTTTACCCCGTGGACCCTGAGACTTTGGCACTTAAAATTTGAAAATGGAGAAATGGGAGTGCATTATACGATGACGGGTATGCCTCCAATCTGGATATTGGAATCGTTGGGTTACATATTATGCTAATGACCTTTCCTAAGCTGCCGTGTTTATACAATAACTAGAAATCATCATCCCTATCGAGGTTTTTACTACATTGTCCACAAATGCTGCTATGAAAAACACTGTTAAGTAGTTGGTTATCTGAATAATATGCCAAGGAAAAAAAAAATGAAAACCAGATCATATTGCCATCCATGCAATCTAAATAGGAAAAAAAAAAAAAAAAAAAATGAGTGCAGTAACCCCATGGATTTGAAGGAACTAGAACATGGGGATTGCTTAATGAGTGCAGGCCTTCACTGGATTTCCCTCTAATCGAATATATAATAGCCAAACTAGACACAAAAAGTACCACCCGTAGGTTAAGATACAGTAAAGTCACTTATTCAATACAGATGTTGGACAAAGGGTGTGGACACATGTTCTGGTAAGCAGTGTATTATACATCCCAGGAAGTACACCAAAACTATGCAATTCTTTTCACCTCATATTCATGAGAAATTCCAAGTGGTGATTCCTTTGAAACTGGTCTATCTTCAGACCAAAGCTCCAAGTTAACTGTTCCACTTCCCCAATGTATGAGACACTTGTAAACCTCACTGATCTTGAACCGGTTGGTTAATCCCAAGCCAAGACATCTATCAGCAAGCATCCACTCCCCTAAAACAGAAAACATCAGACGAGGTAATTTTCCAACAAATCCGAACCTTTAATAATAAGAAGAAAAATTCAATACATGGCAAGCCGAGCATGTGATGGCCAAATTTTGATAGCTTGTCTTTTATGAAATATCAAATATTTTCAATAACTTGTATTTTTCTTTAATATTATCGATATATTTTTTGATTCATGTTAAATCAATTAACAGTCCTTGAGCTTGTTTCTCTAACTTACAAAAAAAAAAAAAAAAAAAAAAAAATTAGACTGATGAATTTTTAATGTTACTTAATAAAAATTCTTCATTCGTCAAAAACTCAAAAGCTACTTTTATGATTTACAAAAAAAAGTAATAAAAATTCAGAAAAAATTGTATGAAGTTAAATAGATTTTCCAAAAAGCCACATATATATAATTGAAAGCTTTGCATACCATTTACTAATATTTTAAAAGTATTACTAAAAACTTTAAAATTAAAAAATCATGCAATTCCACTTGTCAAATTTTAAGCATTACTATCAAATTCTTGTAATTAAACAAAATGACCTAATATTTTTTCCATACTAATTGCATCACTCTCAGAGCAAGCCATATATCAACGCTTCACATGCCACTTGTCAAAAGTTTTTAAGAGACCAATTCTATTGCATTGATTTCAGAAATAAATTAAGGTCAATTTAGGATTTCAAGCTAATTAATTTGGATAACTTTGAAATTGAAGACTGTACGAGCTATATTTCATATAATGGAAGACGCATAAATTGATGACTAAAAAACATCGCGAAATTTTGGAAAACTTCATTTCGAGTGCATTGCCAAGCAGCTCAACTAATATGACAACAGAAATTAACAGTAATTTTCCAAAAAATAGATTTTATTTATTTATTTAATTTTTTTTTGGGGGGGGGGGGGGAAGAATGGAAATTATGTGGTTTCTTTGTGGATGCATGTGAGAGGGAGTAATACCGTTTGGGCGAAGGTCCCCTTCATATGTGGTCTCCTCACCAGATTCTGGCCAAACTTCATGTTTGGATCCATCAATGGATGTAAAATAGACATAAGAGTCTGCAGGGTGCACCAGTGTGAACACTGGATGCACTCTCAAGCAAACAAGCCTGCACACAATGTAAAACAAGCCTTACACCTGAAGGCCAATAAGAGGGGGAAAATATAAATGTAAAATTGAAACCTGAAACTCTACCAGAAGGAAGAGAAATTACACACACACACACACACACACACACACAGAGACAGAAGGGAGGAGGGGAAAGGGAGGGGGGAGGGAGGGGAGGCAGCCAAGGTGTAGATTAATATTTAAGCTCCCAGAATAGAGCAATTCCCTAATCTCATCTGGTTTTGGATTAATTGTTTTCTATAATTAAAAATTATTAGTGGACCTCAATTGTAACAACCCACCCTATATATAGCTTCTGCTAACAAGGACCTTGGCGTCAATCAGACAAGATACCTCAATTCAATACTCCAACATTCTTATCCATTATGACAAGTTAAATTTTAAAAATTTAATTGATAAGTGAAATCTAATGGCTAAATTGAAAAAAGACTAGTGTCCCTCCAACCAAAAGATACAAGCCAAGCAATGCCATAACAAGTTCACACCATAAACACGAATACCTTGAGAATCCAGCAGAACCAGCGCCTACTTCACGGGCTACAATGCCTGAGCCAATGCGGAAGATGTTTGGGTTGTCTTTTGGAAAGATATCTGCCGTTCAATAACCAGTCCACCACCAACGTCGCCTTCCAACAAGAGAGACTCTTGCTCTCCAGCCTGCTGAAGATCCCGCCTACAAAGAGAGAATTGCAAAATCATAAATAACAACAGAGAAGTAAAAGACAGAAAAAAGATATATTTCTATACCAAAGTATGCGTATTCAGCTTTTTACCATTTTTAAGACCCTATGAACCCACCTTTATACAACATCACATTAAAATACTAGTCATTAATCCACTAATGCTGAACCTTTTTCTTTTCTCTAGGCAAATGGGGACTAAGGAGATGGGGGCAAACTTGAAAGAAGTGCAATTTTTTACCTCTAGTTTTAAAATTTTATATGACAAAACAATATTTTAGATATTTTATAAATTAAAAATGTCATTGAGAAAGCAATTTTAGACTAGGTATATGATAACAAAAATATTGGAACAATGAAGTATGATAAGAAGTCATTTACATTATTATGAATATAGATGTAAAGGCAAGAATGATATTGTCCCATGCGAAAAACAGTTACAAACTGAATGTACCTTTTTAGTCACAGGTGAGAGAACCTTGCATGTTTTGCAGGTTCCCAAAAAAGAGAAGAACCAGGCATTCATACCAAGTAACTTTTAAGTAATTTACTACCCATGTGACAACTATCTGATTCATATTAATTCAATCAGTACCTGAGAGAAGCATAATTATTCAGCAGTGGTACTGTTTCCTATACCGTGTACTCAAGTGAATTGATAACAAGGCCAAGTAGATTAAAAATATTCATTGTTTCTATGATACATAATATGTCCCTATGTAATTTCAATGCCAAATTGAATAGTAATTTAAAATAATTACAATTGATTCAAATAATATCTGATTCAGAGGAAGTCTGTCTCAAGGAAAAGCATCGATGTAGCTTAGCTCACTTCCAAGCAGGAATTTGAGTATGATATCAGGTATTAACAGAAGGTAGCCAAGTGACCTTATGTTTCCAATAACTAAACTTCTTTCTTCCAAATTATATAAGGTTGGCTTGATCTAACGTTTCCTTGTTTCCATGGGGGTATATACTAGAGTTGCTAGTTTTGGCTCATGAAAAAAATTAATATGGATAAGATTGGTATAATAATTTGCTCCATCAATGGAAATTCAAGCCTTTAAATTTTAAAAACTCAATTAAGTATTTCACTCACTCAATGACAGTATATTCTTCGGAACATCCAGCTGACCGATATTCAGTACCACTATACTCTTCATATCCATTAACTTCAACCATGCTCTGAAACCACTGAATTCCTGAAAAAGTAGTCATAAGGTTAAAACAGAATAGAGACAACAGGATGTCAAGAGACCATAATGTGTTTCAAGTTCAGAAATGAAGAGCTACATTTGGCACTTTCAAGCTAAAGGAAATTATAAATACATATTCCTTCTTTATGGACATTGACAAACTTCAATGCCTCACACAACCCCATTGGAACTTTTTCACACTAAAATTTTCATGGTGTCTAACCAAACTAACTAGAAGAAAGGAATTAACAGGAGAGGACAAGAATAAAATGGTTTGTAAACATCTTAACTACACCTATTTTTTAAGTGATGCTTGGAACTGCCATTATCCATTTCTCATCAGACCAGGTAAAACTTGTGGTTCTATAGTCATGAAACATCAAGCCTATGGCAATAGACTGTTAAAGACAGTAACAAAAGATTCAAAGTTCAGGGCCTTTAGGTCATTGAAATAATTGTTTGTTTAAAAGTAGGTGATGTCAAAAGGGGCCATAAAATTTGAGTCCGTGGAAGTTTGTCCATTATTTTAAATTATCCACAAAAGTACCCAGACCATTAACCCTAATAAACCCTCTAATTAATGGAAGCATTTATAGATTCTACAATCAACTTACTCACCCAACCAAAGAACCTTCTACAAGCACTCCAGTGGTCCACCACTGAGTTTACCCCACTTTTCACTCCTAATTTAAAACAGCCTACTGGGCCATCATCAGGAGTGGAAGACAAAAAAACCTTTTTTGGATTCAACCTCACTAGTGTAAAAAATGTTCAGCATGGAGACTTCACAAGCCAAATATTCCTAAATCATGTGATATGACTACTACTTTTTTTTATATAAGAGAACATAAATCTCACTCTAGATGTAGCATAGTGAAATGAAATATCAAGCCATAAAATAAATTATATAAAAATCCCACAGCCAATTTTACCATTCAAAGAAATAATCCATGCCCACTTTTACAAGAGGATGTCAGATGTTGAAGACAAGAAAGAGCAGGTTGTCAAGATATAAGGCGCTTGTCTTGGTTTCAAAGAGTAACAGAAAAGTCTTTCCAGCACTGACGTCCGTCCATTTGAACAAATATGGTACGAAAACAGATCCAAAAGGCCCAATAAAGAAAAAGAAGAAACAATATTCGATAACACCATCAAAGCATCAACTTCTCACAAAAATTAGAAAAACAAGAAAATAGAATATTACTCGATTGTTAAAACAAACAAAGAGTGGACCAAGTAAATAAGCATTACCAGAAGGAAGGTGCTCCATCGAAATAATCCTTCCCCCGATCCAAGGAACCACTTTAAGAGCCCAAACACCACTTTTCAGTTCAATAGGAGTTTTTGAAAGTTCAATTCCCTTTACTCTAGAAACCTTTTCCACCTCTGGAATATGCTTAGCAGTTTCTGTAGTTAAAAATTCAGGCATCTTTATTCACTGTAAGTCTTTCAATCGGATAAAACTGTTCTTGAGGTTAAGTTCCAATATAATAAACAAATTAAGCGTGTTAGATTACCAAACAACTTTAGAAATATAATGCATGATCAAATGAGATGCAATATTGCACTTCACATTTCCAAATATTGCACCTCCAGCATCAAAAAATGTAAAACAGTAAAAAGAAATATTAAAGAATCATCAAGAATGAAATATGCAATAATGTTCATCAAGAGCGAAATACTATATTAAATAAGTTAAGAGAACAATATTACATTCTTGAAATCATAGGATGACAAAAAAATGCTAAAAAAAATGAAAAATATATAAGAACAAACAAGTAGTAAAGAACACGTGTAGCAGAAAAAGCACGTATTTCTTAACGTTGTAATAACAAAGACCAAGATGCCTGGTCCTTCACTAAAACATCAAGAAGTTATTAACTAAAAGGATTTGATTCCATGCCAAATTGAAATACCAATAAATAGCACTGACAATCACAAAAACAGCAAAGAAAATAGCATATTGCTAATAGAATTGGAGTTACACTGACAGATAGGACTCAAACTCAACAAAAGAAGAAGACATACAAGTAGGAAGAAGGAAAAGAAGTTTTGGTTGGTTTGGATATGCATTACCTATTCGGATTTTGTATTGTTTTGCACTCATAGACACCAACTCAGACACATCGTTTTCAGAAGGTACTGTAATTTGAATTTCCTCTCCATCAACCCCCCATGCATCAAGCTGAACACGGAAACAAGCCATTTTAGACTCAAGAAAAACGTAATAACTGTAAACCTATATAGCGCTGGAGTACTATGAAAAGAGAATTCTAATCAAATGAATATTCGAGCTATGCCAAGAAAGACATACCTTTGCATATCCACCAAGTAATAATTGTACATGTAAACGGCGTTCTGGCCTCTTCCATGACCCTTCAGTTCTGGAGACTTTCAAAGTCACAACAGAGGACACAAGTTCAGAAACATATGTTGTTAAAAGAAATCCCCCCTAGTGAAATCATATCCGTCTCCATCATCTTCAAATAGAAAACCTTCAGCTTTACCTGTAATCAGCAGAACTCAAATCGTAATGTGACTAATAACAGTGTATATATTCTAGCATGTTGTACAGCTGGAAAAAACTTCTAGGTATATACATAAACTAGGTTATCCAGGCGGGGAGAAAGCAATCAAAGATGTCAGCATTTGAAATTCAAAAAAACAGAAGTTCAATTTAAGAACAAATGCCTTACCTTTTCAACTAATTTTTACATTCAAGTAAGCCCCTAATATACTGCTTTTCAATATGTTGTTTTCCAACTTTGTATATACCAGTGAGTTAACTTCAGGCCTTTTTTTTATATGGAAAAGCCTTTACATCCACATAACCCAAAAAGTACTAAAGATAAGGGGTTAAAGAAAAGAAGGGAAATAACATTAAAAAGCTTGCTTACATTGAGGTTTGCCATCTAGAAATTATTTTGCATCATTTTTCAAGTATCTATTATGTTTTCAAGCAACTCTAATTATTTGCTTTTTTAACCAAAGTTCTCTCTCGTTAACATTCCCACTTGTTTCTGTACTGCACATTTTCCATGCAAGTCCCTAGATCACGTTCCATGATGGAGTTAGTAAAACATTTTACAAATATGAACAATAATTTAAGAGATCAATTGTTGTTAAATCATTTTTCATAAAGATGCCCCTTAAATTATGCTACGCAAAGATTAGAGTTAACAGGCTTTGATTTCCTTTGTTTATTGCCAACTACTATACATTGCAGTGAGGAAATATTCATTAACTTTGTTGACTTCTTTAACTATAACAACTTCCCATTGAAGACAACCAAAACTCCAATTTGGAACTATGACTTTGGCCAATCTTGAAGTGTATCAGCATTTAAGAGTTACTGCAGAAAAATTACCATGCTCATCTAAAGCCACAAGAAGTGATAAATCATCTGTTGGCTTAGCTTGACCAACATGTTGAATAGCAGGACCAAAAGGAATAATAGATCCACCTTGCAAATATAGTGCTGGTAAATCCTGTAATATATTCATAAATTGTTTACAGTAAGTAAAAAAAAAAATATATATATATATATATATTGTCAAGAAGTACAACATCTATGAATATATATACAAGGAAAGAAACATAGAAGTAGATCTAGATACACTGAAATATAAAAATGAATACCGGATGTGAATCCTCAAAGTCAAAATCCAACCAAATCCCTTTAGGCAACACATGCTGCACTTGATCCCTATCCAGATCATTTGCTGTGCTGATGAACATGAAATAAGAAGTTACTTACGTCAGCTTACAAAGATAAACCCTCAACCACAATCACAACAAAATATGTGCGCGTCACGCTCCCCTTGAAGGCTTAGCTTGAAGCACATGCTAAATGTAGCTAATTAGTCCATTTTAAAACAATAAGAATAAAATTTCACAAGCTGTAAGCACAATAATGAATATGCAGGTATAAAATAATTCTTGATGTGAACAGCATATCGGCCAATTTCTTTGATAAGAAAGCTTGATTAAAGCTAAGATGCACATTGCACACTGACGAATCAGACTACTTAACTATACAATCCCGGCCATTTGCTCCAAATAAAGATGAATTTCTTAATGTTCCCCCTCTAAGCTTAACAAAAGGAACTTAAGCACAAATTTTCAACCATTGGAAGGAGCAAATTAGTAAATTCTGAATTGTAACTGTAACAAAGTACATCAAGGAATAGCAATATCAAGTAGTATATTATCAAGCAGCCAATATTACATCAGAGAGGAAGAGAATAGCTACCTTGAGTATATCAGTAGTGGTCCCAACATGAACGAATTTTCTAGTGTTCGTAACCTGGGATCTTTTGGATCTGCAAAACAGTCCATAAAAATTTACAACCAGCACTACAAATTGAAAATTTCAGATTTAAATTATCTGAAATGTAACTCAATGGCATCCCACCAGCAAAGAAAGTAGGACTTGCAACTGGAGTACCCTAGTATGTGCCATATAAAAAAGAGTATATATGTGCGGCAAAAGGCGGTAACGCCTCTTCAACGCCAAACGGCAAACTTCCTCACACTGCAACAGATATTCAGCTCAAACTCAGTGAAATTTGTGGTGGGAACTGGATTTAAAAATCATAATAGAAATTATTGTGGTTAGTGGCTATTTCAACAAAGAACAATAGTAATGATGGCTAAACTCCTGCGGCAGGGATTAATGGAGTCCAGAGGCAAGGATTGATGGTTTTGTCACTCCTTGAGACGGCAACATTTTGTTTCCAGGGTTTATATGTGTATGAGTAGCTTTGTGCAGAATCGCTCTGAATGTAAGTTCCTCAGCCGTTTATAGTTACATAATGTTCACAAATATATCCCTGAATCATTTTGTTACCCACAAACCGAAAACCTAAATTTGTATAACAGAAAGAAAATACTGTAATTGACTAGTCCCAGACAAACTGATGTAATGTAACATAGACATTGTTCTCTATCCGCCACAAAAAGTTCCCTAAGGAAGAACACTTAATGCTTAACTTTTCTTAGCTGTCAAGGTCATCGTTATAGATCCCAGTTCATAGAAAAGGACAAAGGGTGCAGTGCTAATGCTCACGTCTAATCTGTGTAAAGGATAATTACATCTCTTTCCCCATTTTTGTGATGGAGTCTTGTGGATCAAGCTACCATTAACCTCAAACAATACCTTTCTCACCTATCAACTTTGGTGGAGGTTCAAGAAAGAAAAATTAGGCTTAACATTAGGTCCTTGCATGTGAATAGCCTGCATACAATGAGAAAGAAACATGATGAACCTTTAGACCAGAAAATGCCTATTTTAGCAATGTGTTACTGTTTTCTCAAGTGCAACTACTGGTCCTGGCATCCTAGATATGTTTATATTAGCAACAATCAGGGTACTGTTGCCAAAAAACTGTCAAAAAGTCTAAAATATCAATTTCAATGCAATCTTAAACTCATAAGCAGTAAAAGTATTCAATCTTCAATGAAATTGAGGGCAAACCTCTTCTCCAAAAGACCAAGGTTCATGATCAACAGTTTTATCTCTTGAATGCCCACGAGAAAAAGGAAACAAAGCACCAAAAGCCATCCACCTCCCAAACAACTTGGGTGTCGCATTTCCAAAAAACCCACCAATATCTGGTCCTGAAAGAGGCTGACCACTGAGCCCCTGAATGAAAATTATATTTCCATCAATGCATATCTCATATTCAACAAGCACCACATCAAGGTGTGTTTTACTAAAAATAGAAATCACATTATCAGAGGAAATGAAATTAAACTAGTACCCAAGTCTTTCAAAAATAAGGGGAAAAACTAGAAATAACTAACAAAACAAGTTTCCCGCTTCCATGATGTAGTTTCTCAAAGAAGGAATGACACATTCAATTCTAAGGGGAAAATGAATCATAAACACCAATAAGGCAATTATTTGACATGGTGATTAGACAAGAGCAATATTTTATAATATCTTCAATCATCATAGCTGAATATTGATCCCAATCAATATAAAGCTTTAGTTAAAGTTCACTGGTCAACCACCACCTCTGATGCATTTGCTGTGAAAAATAAACCAAATACAATTAGAATCAATTCAACCAAGCCCATTCCCAATTACACGGGTCAGCTACTTGAAGCCTACGTCTTTAGTTTGCTATGATAATCGAAGTTCAGATATCTAGTCAACGTTCAGTTCATACCTACAAAATAGGCTTCCTTGCACAACTACATATCTTTCAGAGAAAGAAAAGGGGTAGAATCCGAAATCGCAACAGTTTTGCATATTATATAAAATAAAAGCAGCCGAAGTAGGCTACAAAGAAAATTTATTGTATGGCATAAATGCAACCCTGATTTCCTAAGAAAAACAATAACCCAAGGATCTTGTTTGCTAAAGTCATATTCTAAAATCTTGTCAATGCTAAGGCCATTGAAAATGTAGAAAATGTAACTCCATCTCCATGTCAACCTATTTCAAAGAGGAGGAAACAAAACTGAGAATTCTCAGCATTCAATTTTCAAAAATTGAGTTCTTCAAAATTCCTCTCTCTCTCTCACACACACACACACGTAAAGGCTCAATTACAAATCAATATATACTGTGTGTGCTAGACAAGCTTTCATACCTGGAAAATGTTCAAGCACGCAATATGCAATTCATGAAGCAAAAGAAGGTGGGTCAGTCAAAAAGGTGAAGGCCACAATCACCAGAATATTCGTACTTAGGACTTCCCTCCACTCTCATCACCATTTAACCAACAACCAAAAATTTGTATTGTGAGCTTTCCTCCCCGCCTACTCTATGAAAGTACCTTTGTATCATTATTATAGTACTATTTTATGTATGACACACTTTTCTATGTCATTAACTATTCTATATAATAAACCACGTAATGCAGTGAAAAGGCATGGAAAGATCCAGAGAGGACACCTGTTCAACGTATTTAGAGCCAAAAAATAAAGAACATTTAAAACTACAGCATTTCAGTCAGCCTCCAAAAATCAAAGGCCACTAACCAATTGAAGAACCATTGAGATACTCATATGAAGATGCTCCCAAGTAGAGAGGTTGTCTCCTGTCCACGTCGCCGCATACCTTTGGCTGCCTATAAACCCAGCTCTAGTTAAAACAAAAGGACGCCTATTTTCATTAGCCAATTTCATGCCTTCATATGTTGACCTTGCCATCAGCATGCCATATGCCTACAAGCAACATGCATAGTTATGGTGACTATTACAGTTGACATAAATATGTAAGTCCAGATGTCAGTTGAGACGCAACAAATTACAAAAATATATATTTGGAGATACAATAGAGTAAAACTGTAAAATATATGCATAAGCAGCACCGTGGATTATACATTGTGATAGTGCAAATGATTTTGACAGCCTCCCAATTCAACGTCTCCACGATGAACATTGCTCTCAGGCATTGTCTTTGTTACAGTCTGCAAAGAAACATAACAAGAATAGGAACCAACCAAAAAAAAGTAAAAACAAAAATAGGAAAGCAATAAAAAATTATGAGCATCACCTTGAAAATGGCTGGTTCATTCATGTCATTCCATATACCATCAACCCCATTAGAAATGAAATCTTTAACTAGATCAGCCCACCATGACCGAGTTCTAGATTGTGTAAAGTCAGGAAAAACACAAGGCCCAGGCCATACCTCTCCTGAAAAATGGATGGGCAAATTCAGAAATTTTCAAGAGAAAAGAAAAAGAAAGTAAAAAGGAAGGAAGAAAGAGTGAAATATAAAAAGGGTAACATGAAGGAGGACAGGCAGGTTGAAATTGAGAATAGATGTAAAGGATAGAAGCAAATATACCAACAAAAGGCTTTCCATCAGCTGTTTGAATCCAGATATCTCTTTCAGAACCACTGTCATAAACAAAATATCCTTCTTCCCGTTTGATCCCCGGATCAAGCATCCAGATGGCCTTGAAGCCAGCTTGATGAAGATCTGCCACCAAAGTTTTGGATCTGGAAACCGCTCCTGTTAACAAATCATTGTAGTTTTTTCCATGCAAACAATGGTGTCTACAGGACAGTAAACCATTTCCTAATCAGACTTCCAGTCCATCATTTAGTCTGGTCTAACAAATGATTAAATAAATTGCTAAAGAAGTCATAATATAATGGATGCATACTTACAGATTCCATATATTAATGCTCAGGAAGCAAAAGAGCGAATTACATCATATATGAAGTTTATCTAATAAGAACATGCCTGGTCAAAAGTGAAACAACGAAAACCATCCATGTAATCAATGTCCATCCAAATGACATCACAAGAATGCCCTTCTGCCTAAATGTTTTGGCAATCTGCAAGCGGTAGTAGATGAGCAAGCAATAAGGAAGAGGTGATAGAGGAACAAAATGTTTCGAATGTAAGTAGTGACTATAGGAAAATAGAAGAAAATTGACATCCTCATTCTTTGTCTCTGAAAGGAAAACAAAAGGACCTCTACAATACAAAAATGTGCAGACCAGCACCAAAAAAAAAGAGAGAGAGAGAGAGAGAACCAAGCTTTTATATAAAATGTGAATGGCATTGGTATCTGTATCAATATCTTTATTCCTAAGTGCTACACCTCAAGTAAACATTCAGATGAGTGCTACACCTGACCAAAAATTCAGGTGATCAGGAAAACAAAAGCACCAATAAACAGAATATATGATCAGAAATGAAAAAGAAAAGAAAAGAAAAAAGGTTATACAAATCCAGGTAGCGGTTGAGGAAAACAAAATTAGCATCATCTGATACAAAAGTAACAACCTCACGAACTCGAGCCTCTGGGTAATAGCTCCAACGACATTGATGATATCCCAGTGCCCACTTTGTGGCATAAATACAGTCCCTGATTAGAATTACCAATTGTTACTTACAAACTTATGAACCAGACTGAGAGAGACAACGACAACAATAGCAGAAAACAGATAAAAAGTAAGAACCATTGTCATTCATATGTTTGGTATATTGTTTCTTTGGCAAATCAGGCAATTCTGATTTGCAGTCTCATTTAATCATGTCCAAGCAATTAATTTAACGAAGCAGCCCGGTTGAAAAGCTATCACATAGAAGTAGCACATAAAATAAATAAAAAATGACCAGGAATGACACATCTCCAACATCATTGTTAATGATTTGCCTTACATAAGCACAACCATACCAAATACAGCGTATATTGTAGACTATATTCTTATCAGCCAACATATCACTACAATGCTTAACAAACAATTCACAGACACTTTGCATGTTAAATGAAAATATGGAAAAGAGGAAGATGGAAGTTACCAACTGCATGAGATAAAGAGACCAAAACATCAGTTGGCGATGCAAATGGACCAAATGTGATGACAGGATATGATTGTGGGGCAACAAACTTTATAGTTGATCCTTCCCGCAAGTCAATCTGCTCACAAGAAAGTCTGATAAAGTAGCCATCCATTCAATTGCTATTTACACGATCAAACATCACAATAGAAAATCACAATTACCTCACATCGTCTTGTTGTATCAGCAAGAACCCCTAGTGCCTCTCCACTTGGAAAAACAGCCAGCACCCAAGGATGTGATTGATACAATGATGTAGTACCAGAGCCATACCCATAGGCATTAGTATTCCAAGTTAAAACCTGTTCATTGCATAATTGACAATGTTATGAAGAACGTCATGCTTTGACAGATGACATAGCTAATTAACTTACTCTCTTTCCTGTCCGTTCAAGTTTCCCACTAAACTTCTCCTGTTCCATAGAATGAGGTACCTAGTGGAAGCTAAATCAAGGCAAAGTTTCAGTTAATAAATCATTAAAATGAAAATGAGGGATCCTATTGGATATGTTTATGAAAATTGTTTTTCTGTTTATGAAAACTATTCTGGGAGAATTTTCAAAGAAAACAAGGCACTTTCCAAGAAAAAAAAAAGTTTTCAGAATTCTCTTTTACTTGAAAATGAAAATGAAGATGACAAGAAAACAAAAAAATTTCACTTTTCAAGATATAGTATTTTCTGTTGTAAAAAACATGAAAAATAAAAATTGAAAATCGGGGCAGAAAACAGTATGCAAATTCAAATGGATCCAATATATTTATACCTATGCACATAATAGCAAAGTAAATACTGGTGGGGAATAAGGCAACGAACTATGTTTTATGTAACTGACCTCAATCTGAACAATCTGTTGTCCACGAACACACTCAAAGGTAGGGATATGTGAAGGGACTTTGTGACCACTCATAATCGGTGTCTCCCTGTCTTTGGGATTAACAAAAGAAAGACTGGGAAATACTGCATTTCTATGATCCGCAGAACAATCAAATCTGAAAATTCCATCCTCTATAATGGTCTCAAAAATCATTTTTCCTGATTTCGCATCAGAAGTCGCTGTGATCCCTTCAACCTCAGACATCTTGGAGACTATCAGCCTCTTGTTAGGCGCCTTCTTTCTGCACTCTGAATAATCTTGTCAGGAATCTGCTCCGATGTTCAAAGGAAGCTGCAGAATTGCATCGCAAAAAATTAAAAGCATAAGATAATTGCATCCGCCAGAGCCAAAAACCCAATTATTGAGATGTGGACCCTCAATAATGTAATAATATGGTATATCACTGCAACCAGGTTTCCCAATGTCATCAATCCCGTTGACTTAACCTCACTCAAGATAGAAACTCACAACAATGGCATGCATGCAGTGCAAAGAGATATCATGCATTAAACACATTAGCATGAAATCAACACTACCTGGGCATGCATCTGCAGTGCAAAGAGATATCATGCAG